GGAGTGGCTCAAGCAGCGACTCGAGCATCTGGGGCGGAGCTACGCATTTCCAGCAGATTTCAGTCATTTGCCGATTGTAGCGGATGAGGAACTCGTACAATTTGTTTGGAAATTGTCGCAAAGGCTGCAAAGGCAATGACTGCAAGTGATTTTCAGGATCCTGTTCTTTGGCTTGGCAATATGGGTTTCTTATGTAAATTGATCACACTAGATTGATTCGAGACTGAAGAAGTCGAGAAGGAAGAGAGGAAGGAACGTGTTAACCGAGGCTGTTTGTAATTATTGATTCGAGTTGCACAACCTACTTACTAACGCAATCTAGACTGCAAGGACCTGTTGCTTGGCGATATGGGTTTCCTAAATTGATCACACTAGATTGTCTTTGTTCCGAAGAAGTCGAGATTGCGTTTCAAGAAGGAAGACAAGAAGGAACGTGTTAACCGAGGGGTGCAGCTAACAATTCGGCGGTCACAAGTCACAGCCGTTTTTCCGCGCCAAAGCTATAACTCTAAACGTTAAGCAAGCTGATATATGTTCCTGCTTAAGATTAACGTCTGTGAGTTCCGCGTTAAACACCATTTGTTTGTAGATGAACCGCCGCCCTCGGCATGCCCGGTCGGCGAGCTGATGACCGAATGGCGTGATGCCGCCGAACAATCAACTTCGCGGCTCTAACGACCTCAGGCCCTTCGAGCGGTATCTATTATAATTGGCACATCAAGCTTAATTTCAACTTAAACCATGTTCTGATGTTACAGCAATTGAAGTCTCTGGGTGGGGGCTCCGACTCGAAGACTATGCTCGTAGACACCGTACAGATGGAATGAAATAGATTAATTATGGTTTTTTTGTGTCCCTCTCCCCGCTGGAGTCAGCGGATACATCATGATATTATCCTCTAGGCTGTAAGTGACAGCCATATCGATTCGACGAGCAAACAATAATAGGGTCGGGCGGCTTGGAGAGTAAAGTAAGACAACCGACGAGTCTGACTTCTTTCGTGTCCCTGTCCGTCCCACGGCCAAACAGCCCAGTTCTACTATAAAAAGAGGATGTCGGAAATGTGATTCTGCTACAGCAAAAAATGGTGTACATCACATCACTATGAGTGGACTCGAACCCAGACTTCAGCAAATACACTGCTAAAGCTCTCACCACCTGAGCTATTCCGCTATTGTAAAAGTGGGGGGAACAACTGTATATTGGGTACGCTACTGTGCCAGTATTTATACTGTTCACAGAACAATGGGAGTACATTGTTCATCTACAACAATGCTGAGTTTGAATACACAAATGACTCGGAATGACTCGGACAATAGTTGTCGAGTCCAAGCGCACAGCATGTTGAAAACCCCGAGCCATCAATATACATGAAACGCGTCTTGGTTCTGAAACGCGTAACGCGTCCAGACGCGTCGAGTCACCCAGGTTGTGCATGCCTGTGCATGCAACGTGTACCGCGGACATGGGTGCTTCCACGACACGTACCCTAAGTCGTGTCGTGTCCTTTGTGTCGCGATCACGTGGCTCTGTCCGGGCTGACGAGTCGCCAATGATTCCAACACTCCCCCTCAGACCGGCAAGAGCCCAACGCGTGCGCAAATTTGCTGTGTTTAGGTTTCTCTTGGCGTGTCGATTGAGGATTCGGATCGTCATCCCGGATTTGATCATCTCGATCACGATACCGTCTCGTGGCTTGCTAAGCCTCGTCTCCGCCTTGGTCTCTGCCTCCAGCGTGCTCGTCGTCACGTTCACGAATAGAACTATTTGTGATCAACGGCTATTCTGGTGAGCCAAATTGAAGCGTGTTCCGTGATTCCATTCACGGCCCGGCTGCCGTGACCCATAAGTGGACTTCGAATTCTGTCTCGTCTTTAAAACATGGTGGCAGATCCTCCGCGGCAGCTATAACAAGCGGCGCGGCGCACACCAATTCGGGACTGACGACAGGGGCCAATGTCTTTTGGGCCTTGCAATCCTGCGCAGCTGCTCTGCGGGCTCGTACGTTTCCTTCTCCTTTCATCATCTCCCTCCCGTCTCATCGCTTCCATCCATTACAGCTGCTCGCCTGACCTTAATGCTTCTCTGCATGTCCTGGACAAGTCGGCGGCTTCAAGACTCGTCCAAATGTATACTCTGCCCCCTCTGTGGTTTCTGGCTCCAAAATCCCTTGATTTTCGGGTGCGGCTGCTGGATGTAGGACTCTGGAGGACATCTGGTCTGGTCTTGGTTTTGTGCTGGTGGAATGTTTTGATGGCGGGGTTGCCAGTGGAGGTGTGCTCGGTAGCTGCGTGGCTGTCTGAAGTGGTGGCTGCGACTTGGTCTGCGCTTGCGTTCGCAACTCAGCGGTCAGCGCCTCCTGCTTCGACTTTCCTCGCGCTGGTGGCTCCCCCTCACTTGGCACCGTCGTCTGGACGATCACGGGATCGGGGGTATGCAGTTCTCTGTGGGAGATTGCTGCTCGGCATTCCCAGCTCCCCCTCGAGCTGCAGATCGACCAGGGGCTAGGTGCTCGGCGTTGCGTACAACATTGTCTGTACGTTTCCGAATCCCACAAACTTTTAAACCTCCCCGCCTCCTCGTGATTCCCTCCTAGTTGGACAGCTTCATGCATCGGCCCACGTTTTGCCCATTCCCTGCACCTGAACTCCCAAAGGTGCGGTCCATTTGAGCTTTTTCGTGTCCATATGGCTCCAACTGCTCATTGCCTGGAGCACACGTCGGCCTGCGGCTTCGGATATTTACCGCAAACTCGATGGTTGACTCCAAAAAAATGGCCAGTATAATTTGAGCTACCGCTCATCACGCGTGCATGCTCGATCATTGTCCCAATGATTATCGGCTGCTCCACTCGATGGCGTGTGCTACGGGGTTCTGGAGCGTGATCCCACAGCCCTCCAGCTGTGCCTTCAAGGCTCCGTCATTGCTCGCCTCCATGGCGGCATATGTGCACATGCTTCCGGGCTTGCACAGCTACTGGGCACAGACATTTAGTCTTGCCCCCATTAGCCTCCACTCGACAATCGGCCCGACACACAATCTATTGTGCGCGCAAGTCGGTGCTGATGGGACGTCAAGTACTCTTTCGCATCCCGGAGCCTGCAGTGTATGTTCCATCGTCGGGTCCACCCGCTCGATCATCGTTAAATGTGGGAATCGGTCCAGAGTTTGTTGAGCCAGAGGTCGGAGAAATAAGGCCGGTGGTTGGTGGCCAATTGGCGGCAACCTAGTATGTGAATAATTCCTTTTCCACATCGTCCGCCCAATTAATCTTCTCATCAACCTCTCCGTTGCTCGGACCCTGTCCTTCCTTCCCTCCACCCTTTGACCAGCAATCGGCGGCAATGTGGCCCTTCTTTCGGCAATTGAAACATTCCACTCTCTTCTTTCCTCCTCCATCGCCCTGCTTTGCACGTCCGTACATCGCTGTGCTCTCATCACCGTTCTTCTCTAGCCTGCGACGATATTCCTCAAGGACAAGGGAAATAAATTCGTGTGACGAGATGGTCGGGGCGTTGCTCGATGCTCCGAGGTATGCGGATGTGAAATTGTCCCAGGATTCGGGAAGTGAGCTGATTATGAGCAGCAAGAAGTCCTCATCTGAGACCAAGCTGCCAAGCATTGCAAGCTCCTCCTGAATACGGTGTAACTCCGTGACATGAACCGCGATGTCCATCGCGTCATCGGCAATCATGCGGTACAGACGGCGTCGGTGCGACAAAACTCCCAGTTTCCCTCCCCTCTCCTTGACCTGCTTAAGCTGCGTCCACATTTCGGCTGCCGACTTGGCGCCCGCGATGTGGACCATCTGCGAGTCGCTCAAGGTGAGCTCGATCTGGGTCTGCGCTCTCCCATCCAACTCCTCCCAGTGCTCCATTTCCTTCTTCTCATCTGCCGTTGGCTTGTCCAGGTCGGCGGCGATGGGCTTCAGGGTGGTGCCCTCGACGATCTTCAAGAGTGCGCGCTCGCGGAATATGGCGGTGATGCGGCGCTTCCACGGAACCCAATTTGTTTCGTTGAGTTGTTCGATCCGGAACAACAACGATGGTGTAGCATCGGCATGGGTGGTAGTTGACATGGTGGTTGTGGTTCAAGTTGTGTGAGAGTAGGTGGTGTATGTGGGGTAGATCAGTTAAGGGCGGGGCCCATAACCTATTGTAAAAGTGGGGGGAACAACTGTATATTGGGTACGCTACTGTGCCAGTATTTATACTGTTCACAGAACAATGGGAGTACATTGTTCATCTACAACAATGCTGAGTTTGAATACACAAATGACTCGGAATGACTCGGACAATAGTTGTCGAGTCCAAGCGCACAGCATGTTGAAAACCCCGAGCCATCAATATACATGAAACGCGTCTTGGTTCTGAAACGCGTAACGCGTCCAGACGCGTCGAGTCACCCAGGTTGTGCATGCCTGTGCATGCAACGTGTACCGCGGACATGGGTGCTTCCACGACACGTACCCTAAGTCGTGTCGTGTCCTTTGTGTCGCGATCACGTGGCTCTGTCCGGGCTGACGAGTCGCCAATGATTCCAACATCCGCCAACAGAAATGAGAATATCGTCTCTATCTCAACAGCAGGTTTATCAGCAACTTCCACTTATGCTAGCAGCAACAGCCTTCAAGTAAATACAGCCCACACAATACTACTACCGCGAAAAATGTAATTTTCTTGTTCACACCTTCGTTTCTCGTGATGGCTGTAGCATCCGCTATTTGTGGTCTGTTTTCGTATTTCTGCCCAGTGCCCTCAAATACTGCGGTTTTGAGGTGTCTGATTCTCGAGTGGTAACGGTTCCCTCAGCTGCCGCCGGTCGTATCGACTCATTCGAGCAAACAATAAATGAATCAAGCTTGCAAGTCAAGTGTTGCAACTGACTCTGAATGATTTCATAGGTCATTTTGTGTCGTTGGCCGTCCCAGATAGCGCATAAACAGATACTTAAAACACGATCATGCCATAAAAGAAAAATGGATTTACAAGTAACCAATATGGCTAAACTAGGAATCGAACCCAGACCACTGCATGCAAGTGCACACTGATAGGGCTCCCACCAATTGAGCCATTCTGCCAACAACATGAACTGAGCATATCATCCTTTTGAGGTAGCTATATCGCCTCCTCCTAGTAGCTGCCTCACGCTGTAACCTGTTTACCTAAGTAGTGCTACACATTATCTGTCAGTCCGACTCAGTCGCTTCAAGTTCATGATCAAAAATCATTGATGATGGTCAAGGGTGAAGCGGCGACCTCCCAGAACGTCTGGGCATGCGTAGCGGGCGAGCCAGCCGTGCGCCGTGCGGCGCGGCGGCCGCGGCCCGCCGGCGTAGGACTCGGATGCGCGCGCAGCTGTAGAGTAGTCCTGGTGCTTGGGGAAAGAAGGCGCAGCAGCGAAATGGGATGAAACAGCAGGTGAGCTCGCCAACTAAATGTCTTGAATGCAACGACTATCTCTTCCTGTTTCGCACCTCTAAAGATTTCAACACGAGTCAGGTGAGCCCCCGCCCGGCAAAACCCGATTACATCACTGAACGTACTAAAGCAACTAAAAGTACGAAACCCCGGTCACTGCCGTCATACAAGCGCTTCCTGTCAAATGAACTGCTCTTCGAACCTTGACTCCTATACAGACTGTTCTCTGTTGTGGCACTATTACTGATACCGACTGATACCGACTGATACCGAAATACCGAAATCCGGGACCCAGGCGCGGGTTTTTATGCGCTCTTCAGCTGTCTGTTGTACTGCGCGGCGTACCGTGTCCTCCCTCACAGTGGCCACTCCCAGCTCCGTCGACGTTGAATCCTGGCATGCATATGCCAGCAGGCCGAAACCATTAGCTTTATGCGGGCTATCTCAAGCCTGCGGCGGCACCTGCATGTACATGTTCATTGAAGTTTTTCATGGTCAACTTCATATCACCGTAACGGCTCCGCCTTCTGTGAAGTTTCCACAGCTCCGCTGTGTACGTTAACGTTATACGGGCGCCGCCCCGCTACTCCACTCCACCCCTCACCTCGTCCATGCGTCCATTTGCAAGAAGCAGCGCATTCGCGCTCCAACGGAAGAAGCTCGAGAGTAGGGCTAGCGCACCACAGCTCCACGAGTCGTGGGTCGCCGTTAACGTTTGGAAAAATCCAAGGCACAACTGCTCCAGCTCCAGCGCGAAGCGTTGGAGCTTCTTGCGGTGCGCCATCGCTCCAACAGTCGTGGGTGCCACGCGACGATGTGGAGCTGGTACTCACGCATGAGGCCGCGGCGGTGGGGAGGGGAGCACTTTGCGACTCGCAGTGCTAGTCGTCCCTCCAAGCTCGGTGGCGCCGCTGGCAGTCGTGCAATCCATTCCAATGCGAGTGATATTATTATTAGCGTCCCATAACAAATTACAACGCCGAAGCCGGCGACTCTACAGTACATTTTCTTCCGTCGGTATCGTACATCTTCTGGCGCGCCCGACTCGGCCTATTCGTACAGGATGTTGCAGCATTAATACACGAGGTTGGATTGAGAGGGGGTCTGGCCTTGGCGTCGTCAGCGTCCAATGGCACGCAGAGAGGCGGAGCGCCGACGTACAGTACAAGACATGCATCAAAGCATGAGCGGGGATACGGGGCCGTCATACGATGCGGGCTCTAAACGGGGCGTCAAAAACGCGGCGCAGCACGGATGGTCACGGTCGCGCGTACCATGAGCATGTCGCGGGGTTGTAGAACGGGCACGTGGCGTTGTGCGACCCGCGCCAGCCGCAGTGGCAGCACTGCGGTCCGTCGCCGCGGTACGCCGGCCTGACGACGGAGATGGACGCGTCGCTCTGCGCTTGCCTCACGCAGCGGCGGCTGGCGCGCCGAATAGCGGTGGAGAACGATGGGAACATGAGAAGGGATGGGTTGTGTACGTGTGCGGTCGCAGGGCAGGGGACGAGTTGGCGCTGGACAGCCAGGACACGCCGGCTTTTATAATGTTTCGCACCGCATGTTCGCGCCGGGTGCGCTGGGCTGATGCAACTCGGTGTCGTTACGTGAAGGGCCTGGATCTGCTCTGGGCGGCGAAGCACTGGATGCGTTCAGAGCCTTCTCATGGGATGCAGATATTTTACCGGTGTAACGGATCGCGGGTATGACGTTTCTTGAAGTGGCCACCGCCAGGACGAGCACGTGCGTGCGTCCGCCTCTGCAGCAAAAAGACCTGCGCGCGCTGAAAGCGCGACTCGGCGGCCACAGACCAGAGCGAAAAACGCCTCAGAAGTCGCTGTTCCCATGCGCACAAGCCTGGGCGAGGCACACACCCGGGGCCTAACCATCCGACACGCCACCGCCGATCCTTGTCCTTGCCTAGGCCTTCCAAGCAGGGCGTCCACGATCCTATTCATAGGCCGTTCCGTAACTTTCGGCATCGCGAAGGTCCCCACACGAGGCCAGGAATCCTGGAAGCGCGCGCGAGATTAAAGCGCTGCGATCGAGCGACTCGGACTGCATCCTAGACCGCGCCGATAAAGGCAGCGCCCCCGCCGCTTCAAGCGGGCGTGACTTGGCTTAACTCGGGCGGCCCTGTGGCTGCGGCTTCTGTCAGACGTCGCGTCGCGAACCCGGTCCATGAGGATCTGCGAACCCGCACGCAAGGCGGCGGCGCACTGGCACCTGCATTCAATCAATTGGCCTGCAGGCGCGCGCAGAAATAGCCCGAATGCGCGAGCACAGTGCGGCGAACGCGCGGCGCGACGCGCGGCCTGCAGCGTGGCAGGCATCGACGGAGCACGATGATGTTCTCTTGCGCCATGTCTCCCCTAGAAGGCTGTGGACACGAGCATCATGATCCCGCCGCTGTCATCCGTCCAGGCCCAGCGCAGGCCTTCGCGTTGCTGGAATCTAGATTTCCGCTGGCTGGCCCGGGGCTGCGAGTCAGTCCGGGATATTCGCATCACGTCTGGCGATGGGTGAGAGCGGTGCAGACTCCGACACTCCGATAACTCCGATTCTAGTCGGTTCAAGGTCTCTGTTGCTCATACTTAAAACAAAATTGTGGTATGACTATCATCGCTACGGCACTTCGATTTCAGCGTGAATATATACGTGTCCGGCTTCTAGGCCAGAAATACGACATAGACCGGAAACCGCCGGGACCCTCGGCTGCCTTTTTTGTGTTCTTCAGCATTCTGGTTCTTTGGTCAAACCTTCTCCGTACCGTCACCTGCTGTTTCTTCCTGTTTTTGTTTCGCTGCCTCAATGAATTAGCGTGAAAAGAGCCGACCGGTTAGGCTGTGCAATCAACAATCGCAAACACCCCTGTTCCTTCCTCTCTTCCTTCTTGAAACGCAATCTCGACTTCTTCCGAACAAAGACAATCTAGTGTGATCAATTTAGGAAACCCATATTGTCAAGCCAAAGAACAGGACCTTGAAATTCACTTGCAGTCTAGATTGCCTTTGCAGCCTTTCAAACAAAAATGTACGAGTTCCTCATCCGCTATAATTGGCAAATGACTTAAATCTGCTGAAAATGCGTAGCTCCGCCCCAGATGCTCGAGTCGCTGTTTGAGCCACTCCCCCTTCACCCTTCACCCTCAGACTATGTAAACCGACTGCTGCGCTCCAACGATGTGCCACTGGACTCGGAGGCCGTCGTCATCCGCAGTATTGTGTCGGATGGCGAGGACCGGATTCGTGCGCTAGATGCGCATGTTTTACACCTGCAAGCCACTCTGGCACAGCTATCCCAACGGCGCGACGAGACGGTCGAACATCTTCGTGTTCACCGCGCCATCCTGTCCCCCGTCCGCCGCGTGCCGATGGAGTTGGTGTGCACAATATTCGAGATGGCCAGTGCACAGAACAGAGTGAAATTTGGAACACCCCCATGGCAGCTTGGTTTCATCTGTCGCTCTTGGAGGCAGTACGCTCTGTCGTGCCCCCTCCTCTGGTCCTCTGTCACTGTTCCACATTGCCCAGGCTGGTATCAGAGCGAGACGCAACAGCTCCTGTCCAAACTTCGGACCCAACTGTCCAGGGCCACCAATGCCTCTCTGGATATTTATTGGTCCTGGTCCTGCAACAATGAACCAGATTCCCGCCTACTAGACTTGATCTTCCCACACTCCAATCGTTGGCGCAATGTGACGTTTCATGTCAACTGCAGTAACTGTAGGCTCGATTGGCTGCTACCCATTAGCGGCAAGCTCGATCAACTCGAAACATTGGAAGTAGAAAATTTTGGTGCTACGATATTCCCTGATGTTTTCACAACTGCGCGAAATCTACGGCGAGTCGTATTGACTCCGTCGCAGAGCAGCAGCCGCAGCAATCGCACCGCTCCGATTTACCTGAAGTCTATCCCGATTCCGTGGGGGCAGATCACCCACTATCGCGGGGAGTTTCCGGGGGAGCGGCAACTCGAGTTTCTACAAGCTGCTCCAAATTTGTTGAATTGTGCACTGGAAATTTCAGATCACTCCTACCTCATCTCTCCGGCAAACACGACTGTAATCCTTCCCCATCTTCGTCGGCTATGCCTGAATGCCACTGCTTCCCGTCTGAATGTCGTGGCCCCAGAGCTGGAAGAACTATGCTGCGTGTTCCATATGATGTGGATGCCCCACCTTATCACTCCCTTCATTCGGCGAGCCTCCTGCACGCTTACGCGACTGGTCTTGTGGGAATGCCGCCTTCATACGGAACTCACGGATATTTTACGGGATCTGCCGACATTATCTTATCTTCTGCTGGCAAATGGCACCCCCATTGAAAAGGATGGAGTCGCATTTTTTACCAGCATGGCGATCTCGGGGACAGATTCTGATGTTTGCCCACATATCGTGTCGATGGTGTACGGGTATGAAAACTGGTACCCCTACACAGAGGACGCGTTTATTTCCATGGCAAAGTCGCGATTTCGAACGCAGCACAGCCTGCGTTCGCGACTCTTTCGTCTTCGTGTGTTTAGGACTGGTCATCTGTACCGCTACGAGCCTCCCGACCTCGACACGAAACATCGGATTCAAATGTTGCAGGATGAGGGACTCGATGCGGCCTTTCTGGATGAGCAGGAAACTACGGATCATCTCTCTCGAAAATATATTT